GCATCGGAGAGCGATGCTGGGACTGCTTCATCTCCTCGGCTTGCTATTTTCTTTGATTTGTCTACTTTCTCATGTTCCTCATCGTCGTCGTCATCATCATTATCATCATCGTCGTCGTCTTCGTCATCTGCAACTTCGTCTTCTACCGCATCCTCTTCCTCACTTCCGTTGCTCTCACTTTCGCTCTCACTATCCCCACTGTCATTCTCATCTTCATTTCCGCTTGCATCGCTTTCACCATCATCATCTCCATCCTTTTTCTTTCTTATTCTACCTTTCTTCAAGGCTTTTCCAGCTGCTAACAGCACACGACCTCCCCCTCGCGACGCAGCTTGGCGATAAGGTGAACCTGTACCGCTCGATCGCGAGCCCAGTACTATCTCGGGTTTTTCTTGTAGAGGTGGGAGCCGCTTTGGAGGCATCACAAATGTATAAATCAATATTGAAAATGCCAGTGATTTGAGAGCTTCCAGCTGGGTAAGTTTGATTACATAATCGTATCGAACTCTCGCATTAATCTCAGTTCGCCGACTGCAGTTGCACGATCATGGATGAGGTCTCCTGGACTTGTACTAAAAGACAGTTGGTATTTCAACTCAGCTCGACAGTCACAATGTCGTTTGACAATCACCCGCGTCCGTAATAACATCGACTGTCGCCTTGAGATTCTACCCTTCTGGAGTCTCTCACTAACCTCAGCATTGTACCTTGAGGGCGAGACTCTCCTTTCCACTGTAATGAATAGTTCTACATTGCTCTTCAGTATGTTTTGTCAGCGATTCATGTTTTAGTCGCTGGAACGGTATTCACGATACTGAGTAATGGGAGACCATATGTAACAATCTGCGGACCATGAATATATCGATACCTGAAAAACCAGTAGGGATGTGTTTGTTCAAAGCTTTAGGCAGCGAGCAACCGCAAAGTCTAATCTATTCTACTGCTGAATTTCTGCCACTTGTGGTTCATTTATAAAGCTGACGATGCAGCAATGAATAATCTATCGTGCATATCAACCCTATAAAGTGAAATTCACCCCACTGCGTCCGAATGCGTCTCTGCACACGGCAGGAACCAAGACGGCTATGGCGTCCTTGAAAACTTATCCTTCGGGCAGTCGCTGCTTGAACTCAATTGTGAGCCAACAGAGTTTAGCAGCGGGCTTCATACTGCGCTCTGCTTTGGACGCCGATCATTTGAGCCGAAGTGTGCGATTTACATATGTTTTGCTAGAGTGCAAAAGGGAATACTGAGGAGAAACGAGTCCAGGGCACAAGCTGAGGATGATCTGGGTTACGTAACCATGCTGGTCCTGCGCCACAATCGACCAGTCAACAGCATGGTGGTGGATCTGCAGCACTTGCATCGCCAGCACGATGGAACTGCCCAAGCTAGGAGTACAGTGCGCGAAGCCCGATTGCCGACGGCTAGGTAGCATGCGCATGTAAACACTCACGTAACATCATTTGGGCTCACTGCTCGAGCTAGACTTCCTGCCCTTTCCCTGCAACTTATGCTCCCTGACGTACTGGTAACTATCTGGTTTCATATTTGAGCAGTAGAATGGAGCATCATTCGAAATGAAATTGGTCCGTTTTATTATTGATAGCCTCGACCACCGACATGCAGAGGCACATGAATGTAAAAACTGGTCGGAAAAGAAGAAGGACATAGATGTATGTGATCTCTCCTCCCACCGAGTCGAGAACGATATGATCAAACTTGTTTTGTTGCTTGCGCTTCATTATAGCCAAGTTGCGGATCCGTACAAGAGGCATCCTCACAGAAGATTCCTTGCTCCTTTTCTTCATGTACAACTGCCGAGCTGTGGTCCGCCACCTGCCCCAAGTGTGCCAAGCAGTTTTGCTTAAGGTCAATAATGACAGCTACTCTGGTTCCAAGCGGCCAGAAGCAAACATCCCTCATTCTCAGCCAGGCACCGACACCCTCCCGATCACTCGTGTACAGCTCCTACCCAAAAAGATGTCAAAAGAGAGGAGAAGGAACAAGCCTACAAAGAGCTGATAGCGACACTGGCAACGTCATCGGAAAACGCAAGGCAAAAAGCGCTGGCGACAGAAAACCTAGCACCTAAAAAGAAGAGCAAGAAGCTGAATCCTACCATTGAATTGATGAAAATGAAAATGCATGCAAAGGTGGCGAGACACAGCAGTGATGCATGTTGATGACGAAACTGATGTTTCTAGTCCGTTCACAGGGGGAAAAGCCAGTACCACTCGAATCACGAGTATACTTTCGCATCTACTTCCCGTTGGAAAGCAAAATAGAGAATCAAGCAATGTTCTTTCATAAGGTAAGCGCGATTTGGTGTGAATTCGGCGCAGAAAGTCTCAGTGGCATGAGAAAAATTGTCTCTTGCAGGACTGGACAATTGGTCGCTTGATAGATAACATAGCCGCAGCGGTCAAAATACAAAACATGAATAACACGGGTCCCGAGGACAAGGTTCGTATGGACAGACAACAAGCTCATCATCATGGATCGTGTCGTAACTATGACTTGCTCCAGAAACTGAATTTATTCCATGGTGATACGGGAGGCCATCTTGCGACGGATGCTACCTTATCATCTTTGATTTCTACAAGACGCCTCCAGAGCGGACAAGCTCTGATTTTGGAGAGACACCAGGGGCCTACCATTCCTCTTACTGCCTATCTGTCCAACGAATAAAATGTCGCCGCTAGTTATCGATAATATGCGCTTCTGAATCTCTGTTTGGCAGTTGTGAGCGGCTTACATATGCCACAGAATGTTTATGCAGACACTTTGACAACAAATAATTTGATTTGTGTGCCTGGCCACGACAAACCAAATTTCAGCTCATCTTACTGCTGCGTTATGCCTTATCACATCTGAACTCACCAGTCCATATTGGCGGACACATTTTCGCGGCCTCCCCCGCACCCATCCCGTTACTCGTCGTGAACACACGACCCTACGCAAGTTCCAATTTAGTATCAAGACACTGTGACATCCCCATCTCAGGAACTCACCCATAAATAGCTGGTAAACCATATCCTAATTGCATCTGAATAATGAAACCGTCGAGTGTAGATCGGATGTGGCACAGGTAACAAGCCCACTAAAGTTCCACTTTGGAGGTACTCCAACACAGTCTTATCATCATTGATGCCCTTATCTAGGCACATCTGTTCGATCGTTGGGCCGAGGGAATCGACCAGTATGAGTATGACAGACAACGGCAGATGAGCCCGCCAGTAGTTGAACTGCAAGTTCGGTCAACCAGCTTTAACCATTGAGCTGCCAACAGCGTTCAAGTTCAATCACTTACCCATTCCTGATTGGGTTGAAACTTGCCCTTATCGTTGATAGGCGCAACCTGTCCATCTTTTCCGCCAGCCACAGGTCCCGAAGAGTGTTCAGCTGGTAGTTTGCCCTTTGCTTTTTCTGATAACTCTGTATCTGTCCCTGTAGAGTCACTCTCACTCTGGCGACGCTCTGATGCGGTTGCACTGTTGCTGCCATCCCCGTTGGTCGCGCTGGGTGCTTTACTACCTAATTGACCCTCCAACGACTCCGTCGATCGCGCCTCCTCTTCCCCTTCATTTTTTTCGGATTTTGTCGGCTGCTTTTGAGAATCTCCGCTTTGTTTTTGTGCTCGAATGGCTCGCACTCGATTCAACTCGCTAACAGCGTGCTCGTACGTAAGGTTATGCAAATCGTAGAACTTTTGCTTGTGTCGAACAATTGCGTAGACAAGATGAGTGTTGCCTGATCAAAAAGAGGATTGTAAGCAGGATCAGTCGATGAGAAGTGCGACGACCGTGAACTTGGAATACATAATAAATACCCGTGACTTGATACTGGAGAATGTTGTTAAACGCTTCCAACAGAAAAAAAACGTTCTTATGATTATGCTCGTTTGCAAGCATGAATGCCGGGTTTGAGAACAGGTTGAAGAGGCTGAGCAGTTTAGTAGCGGTGGTAACGTTGAGCGCTTTCACGAACGGGGATACGTTTGTCATCGCCGTTAGGAGATGTTCGTGTAGAGCCGCCATAGGCGAACGACTGGGCGTCGTCACCATTGTGTGAATGGCCTACAATGATGACAGTAATGATCAGCAACTAGATCACATATTCTTCTCCTAGACCGCGGCAGAGCCAGTGAACTCACCAAAAACATGAAATCCGCCCATGTTCCCGATGTAAAGTTCGGCACAGCCTTTGCTGCCGCTCCAACAGTATTGTAATCAAATAAGGAGTTGAGCTGGACTGCAAAATTGCGGTCCTGGGACAGTATATGTAAGATGAAGCAGCACATGCGGAGGAGACCGATCTGCGCTGCATTACGAGGTGTTCCTATCAGCTTTATGATCGTAGGTCAATTTTGACAAACTGGTACATACCTGGATCATTCCGTGCCTCTACCGCGAAGTACAGCACTGATGCAAGAATAACGAGAACTTTGTCGGTTTCCATTGCTTGGTGTGCGAATTTCTATGTATATCCCATATATGAGCTTCTATGCTGTGTTGCAAGCGAATAGCGAGACGCAACAGACCTCATTGTGCTCCACCAACTTCCAGAAGAGCATGAGTACTTCAACATGGATGTTGACCCGCTTGATCGATCCAGGTAGATATGTATTTGCCGCCTGCACAGGGGACATGAGTGATGCGCTTGTCATCAATATCCTTTCCATTCCATGCACCTACGTCCAACGGATTCTTTAGAACTCGGCAGAAGCCATCCATGAGGAGTAAAAAATCTTGCGGCCGATGCAGCTTGCCGGTGTAAAAGCAGAAGTCATTTCGCATGGTTTCGCGCTATCGTATGGCGATGAATTCATATGGCCTTGACATTAAACGACCCCAACCGTAAAATGTTGATCTAAAATACCTTAGACTCGCTGCTATTGGCTGCCGTTGGGGAAAATGACTGTGCTTCGCTGGAACTCGCGGTTGATGACCGACGACTGTGCTCAAGTGAGGGTCTTCGGCTATTGTCCTGACTATGAAAAAATGAACCTCGAATCCACTGCTAGTAGAGAGAGGGCCACAAGTACCTCTGAGAGGGCTGCGCCTGCGTTCCGCCTGGCCGAATATCCAGTAAGGCGACGAATGTTTGCAGACAAAGAGTTACAAGTTGTTCCTCCATGTTCGCAAAGAGCAGCTGAAGATGTCGTAAGTATGTGATACATTGCGGCGCATGAAGATCAAGTTACTCTGGTTCGTACATGATTATATGGCAGTGACACCCATCCCACCGGTTGGTAGTTAATTATTGTGTTCAACATGGAACAGAGCAACGACACAACCGCCTTTTTTTCCAGGCCGCATACAATGGCGTTGCCCCATCTGTTCTCAAACTTTAGCACCTTCGCCGCAGGGCAGTAGATTGTTCGAGATATAATTGTCAGCAAAAGGCGCATTGTCTCAGTTCGATTATTAATGTTGTCTCGGGTTGCGGCTGGCGGTTTGACTGCCACTGCAATGCCTTCTTGCCTAGTCGCCAGATCATTAGCTTCGAGTCCGGCGACAATCCAATAGTATCCCTGAGTACCAGATGCTGTACTGAACGCCACGTCCAGTTTTAGGGTCGGGAATTTCGGGCAAGGTGAATCTACAACGCAAGCGCTCCTGTAAATAGCAGTGCAGGCAGCCACCACGATTGTCCCTCTCTAGATATCTTACCCCCTGAAGAACAGTAGTTGCACGACTGCTTGACATAGCTTTGCTCCCAAGGGCTGTGCCCCATTTGCCACCTCCCAGAAGATTTTCCCCTCCAATTCGCCATTCTCAACTTCAAAAACGTATGGTAACAGGCGGGTCAAAATGCGAATGCAGTTCAAGACATCTCGTACATCGTCCGGGGTAGGACGCGTGGTCAGAGCCAAAAAGCTAAAAAGGCGACTTAACGTCTACAAGTTTCGTCGGTTGGAACGAAAGTGTCAAGCTTCCATTAGCACAAGAGGTGCATGGTTGCGCTTGGCATGCACTTGTGGATTCACCTTTCGTAACAACGTTTCCAGGTTTTCGACGGCTGTATCTCGAACTCTGCGTATATCCTTTGGCGCAAACAGGTTGAAAACATCCTCCGCTGTTTCTGGTAGGCGATAAAAGTTGCTCCAAAAGTCGTCGTTTGATTCGGGAATGCTCTGCCAAGAATTCGCAAGACCGTACGTCAAATGGGTGAGATCATTGGGCAAGCCAAGCGTCGCATCAGGCATTTCGTTACCTTCTGTTCGTAAAGTTGAAAGACACTCTTTCGAAAAGCAAGCTTACTTTCAGTTGCCCCCATCCTCAAACAGACTCTTATAATCGCCTGCAGCTCAACCAAGGCGCGGATGCTTGGTGGGATTGCCGTCAATTTGTCTGCGCGTTTGTGTGAGTCATACACAGGGCTGAACAGAACTCTCTTTAATGTATTTTTCCAACTTAAATGAATATTGACAAATCATAGGATATGTAACAAATATCCAACTTAACAAGATTCATAACTTCATCAACCAGTGTTACCCATTCCCATAGCAATACCTTGAATGGTCACTGACATCAGATCGCGCAACTGTGGATCTTCCTCCTTTCCAATTTCCTCGGCTTCACGCAAAAGACTCAAAGCTTCAACCTGTAACAGACTAAGCAATACAGAGGAGGTTAGCCAGATATACTTAGACCGCGACGTCAGAACTACCTACTTGATTGGGTCGGTGAACGGAAGGCGCGACTCCACGGCACGCCGCACGACAGGATCCGAGGCTAGAAGATCGTTCGATTGAGAAACCTCGAGAATGAGACGAATACATTGGTCGAGCCTCTCCCGAATGTAAGCTCCGACATGTCTCACAGCCTCAGGAGCCAACCGCGCGTCATAATATGCTATACGGCAGTTTTAGTCATATCGTGTGGTGTGCTATCAGTTAAGAAAACGTTGTGCGTACCAGATATCCTGGGATCCGCTTTTGCCAAAGTCATTTGAATGAGGTCCACCGTGGACTTGAAAAAGGGCCAATTGCGATACATCTCTCTTAGCAATCCCAACTTGCCGCTTTCTTTAGCTTGCGCGATGGCCTCGTCTATTCCCAACCACACAGGAAGGTGCGATCGCGTCTGGGTGAACGCAAAGATCCATGGAATGGCACGCAAAGTTTCAATGCCACCTGTAGCCCGCCGTTTGGCAGGTCTAGAGCCAATATTCATACTTCCTATCTCAGCTAAAGGAGTAGCAGAGCGGAAATAAGGAATGAAGTCTGGCATCTCCCGGACAACTCGCCGATAAAAGTCACAAGATGTATTTGACATTTGAGACATCAGTGCGCGCCATTCTGGCTTCGGTGGGTGTGGAGGCGCCAAAGTCGAGATCAGCGTGGCGGTAGTGTATCGTTCTAGCGTCTGCTCAGCGGTTCCTGTATGTCCAAACTATAGCGCATGTTAGTTTTCAACTAGCTTCAGCTGCTTGGAAAGCATGTTTAACGTACATGGTGATCAATAATCTCTCCCTGAATTGTGATTCTCATCCTGCCTTGCACAGTCCCGTTCGGCTGTGAGAGGATGGCCAAGTGCTGCGGACCTCCTCCTCTTCCAACGCTCCCGCCCCTTCCGTGGAACAGCGTCAATTGCACTCCATGCTTTTCGCATGTACGTACAAGTTCTTCTTGTGCATTGTATAGACCCCAAACTGACGTAAGCCGACTCCCATCCTTGGCGGAATCCGAGTAGCCCAACATCACCTCCTGCCTTCCATTAATGGACTTGCGGTAATATTCAACCGACAATAACCGATCAATTGTGGATGACGCATTTTCCAAGTCTGCTTTCGTCTCAAATAAAGGAGCAACGCGCATCGGCTCTTGGATACCTGCAATTTTTTGCAGAAGGGCGACGGCCAGGATATCAGACGGCGTACGAGCCATAGATATCACGTATGCTCCCAACGCGTCCGTTCCGACTTTGGACAGCATACGGAAGGTAGCCACGACTTCTTTGACGTTTTCCGAAACGTTGTCTGTACCGGTACAACTTTCAGGCCAATCATGGGGAACCAACGGGCGGCGGTTTTGCAGCTCTGATGTTAGCAGCTATTAGATATAGTGTTGTTCAAAATGACATGAGCAAAGTACCCCGCGAACCTTTTATTAACCACTCTTGCTTTTGCTCTTCAGACCATTGATTGTACGATCCGACCTCGAGCCATTGCGTTATAGCATCCATTGCTTCTGCGTGGCGCTCAGACTCCTGTCGTATATCGAGCTTAACAAGGGACAGCCCAAATGCAGAGATGCGTCGTGCGAGATTTCGCAATCGTCCATTCGCCACCAAATGGTCTCCGCATTCTACAAGCGATCTATGACAAAGTAGCAAGGGTTCTAATAAATCCTTCGAATGCGAGATGAAACCGGGTGGAGGTGGTGGCGGATTGGGGACCCCTATTGCTTGCTGCAAATATTCTTCCGTCACCTTGCATCGATCGCGTAGGACTGTAAGCAGCAACCGATATGGTTCGTCGCGAGGGACATTACCCCTCGGGAAAGTGAGGTTTGTCTTTCGCGATGAGTTAACGATCACATCTTCGGGGATTTCCGCTACAACCTTCTGCAGCTCGTCGTTGCACACAGTCATACTGAGGTCAAACATCAATTTATCCACTTCAGCATATATGAGAGTCGCGGCACGCCAACGACAAAGTTTGATGACGTCCCGAGTCACATCGGATGTGACAAAGGGATTACCATCGCGGTCGCCTGGGAGACCCATCGTTACAAAAATGAGTACGGAATATGATTGGAATTTTGTTATATTTACCTCCAATCCAGCTTCCAAATGTAATTAGTGTGCTATCAATTGGCAATGGTGGCTGTCCAATCTCGGCTAGGGCATGATCGACGGTTCCCATAAAATTTGGCAAGGATGTCCAAATAGTGTTCTCGATAACCATGAGAGCGTTACGAGCTTCGTCCTCCGGCGTTGGTTTGATTCTCCGAACCGTGTTTGTTTGCCTTGAAACGGACACTCTGTTACTGAAAGGTTTGTTCACGTATACCGGCGAGTCTTACCAAGCAGCGAGGATTTCACCTTCCAACGTGTTGCGAAAGTCGACTTCTTCTTGTGGAGTCCTTTTCAGAAATGGCATATTAGCTCTTTGCTGCTGAACGTACGGAACATCGAGATCCAGATAGAAATCACGACGTACATAATAGTCCGGTCTCGGACGGCCAGAAGATTGGCAATATGAAGGTACTTATCTAGTAGAGTGCGCCGCGCTGCTTGGGTTGGATGAGCAGTCAGAACCAGATCAACTTGCTGTTTCAGCAGTGTGTCGCGGATCTGTTTCGGAGTAAATCCTTTTGGCAAATCCCATTCTCAGCAACCATTCAACGTCGTAACTAGAACAGTTACAGTTACCTTGTGATGCTAGGAGATTGAAGGCATCACGGCAGGTTTGCCGGTAGGAGAGCGAACTTTTTCCACTGCGATAACCTCGCCACCTGCGTACTCGGTGCTGACGCTCAGCGATATCCGCCAGAGTCAAAAATTCTTGAAAGGCTCGTGCAATCTCCAAATAATCACTTGGATGCTTAACATCGCGAATATGCGCCAGCAATTCCGTAAACGTTTCATCAGATGGGTTCGTAAAATATCGTCGTGATGCGTGTAGAAGCTCATCGACCTTTGCAGCCAACTTGTCAGGCGCCCCGCCTGCAATGCTGGCATGTTCTTTGATGATGTGTAGCAAAATGTCAGAGAGGAGCAGGATATCTTCCTGCATAATAAAGGTTATAAGATTCAAACAAAGCGATCCAGCATAAAAAACCTGTACGTACTCTCAGCGGGGCATTGAAGTCTACAGCATCGCCATGAGTAACTTCGCTACTTATCAGCGTCGATATCAGTTCCTGCATTGACCCGCTTTTGGAGGTGCTTGCACTTGACGGGGAAGAGGGTAATGCATGTCCATCAATAGCAGTATCTGTTCCATCTTCTGGCATTTTAACGACCAGGCTGCGTTGTTGAAAATCAAACAAGATGAAGCTGAACAAGATGTCAAACAGAAGAAGAGGGAGGAAGGGCTTATAGATGGATAAGATGTGACATGCGATAGTGACGCGCATGTTCATTAAACTAAATATGGCTATATTGCTGATGACATCCCTCGGGGAATATCGATCTAGCATAACCAGCGACGACTGCCTGTCGGCGGTGGAAGGATGCTGTTATTGTGTAAGTTGGTAGCTGAAAGAGCATGTTATAAAACTATATGAAACGATATTCATTTCAACACCATCTTCGGGTCCATGTCTTCTTTCAAGCAGGTTCGAACGCCAATGTTACCCTTTCCCAGGGGTACGAGTGGCCTTTGAGCTCGGTGATAGGCTGTTACTCCCGGGACTCATCCTCGAGTTTAGGCATAATCTCTGGGACGGCGCAGCATTCTTATGAGAGCCCGTAGGAAATGTAATGGTGAAGACTGTTCAAGGGAGGCTTCAGTGCCTCCGCAAATGATATCTGATACTGTAGGACTGTTATATATTTACAAACATTCAGTAAACTTAATCTATGTACTACAACATCCACATAATCAACAATATTAGAACTACTTATATCGGACATACTTGAGAAAGGCTCCGAATACAGGAGCGGCTGCGGTGAATACTTCCAGGGTTGCCTGATCTTGGGAGGGAAAGTGAGGGAGATCGAACTACAGACTGCGCAGGAATGCCCATCTTGCGGGTGTGCCGTGCGAGCAACATTTTTGCACAGTTTGGGCGTTGCCGAAATCCAGCCTTTTGATGATGGACGTAAACCTCCTTCCGTAAAGCCGCTGATTTTGGTCGTGGTCGGAAGCCAGCCTTTTCAACATGTTCGCGTAGTTCTTTCGTATCGGTGACTGAGTGAATCGACACAAATGTGTGGACATCTCGTTGTGTGTCAGAGCATCTTCCATCCTCTAATTGATGTTTCCGAAAGACAGTCTTGATCCATTGGCGGATCACGCTAGCACTGGTTTGCTGATGAGCGTACATGGCCAGAAATATGTGGAAGCCTAGCGGAAACCTGCAGCGCAGGGAAATGATGTTTGTCAAAGGCTTTAAATTTTGGAGAGGCTTACCGTCATGCTCCCCATTAACCCGATATCAAAGGGACAAGGAACCCGTCAAGGCACATGTATATCTACAGGAAGACCCATATCAAAAGTCTTTCCTTTTTCTCCGCGCTATCAGAGGATCTTTCATACGATCATCTGGTCCGGCCGTCGGGATGAAACAACCTTTGCTAGGCGGCTATGGATCGCTACCTCCTTCCAAAAAAAACGCGCGTGTGTTGCTGTCCCCCATCCGTATCGGAGCGGATTATCCTACTATCAGAGACATTACACGTGAGCAGAGACTTGTAGTATCTCTCCCACCGACGTCATCCAGCCAACGTCATTTCAGCCAAAGAAAGATCGGTCTTGTTTATGCGGATTACATAGCAAGCGAAAGGCAGGTGAAATGGGGAGAGAAAGCCGATATGAATTTGCACAAGAAGGATACGAGCGGAACTGAACAAGAAAAATTAAACTCAAAGGGACTTCATAAGTGGCCAATCTGCATGGCAGGCCATAGCGAGGGGGGGCCATCTCGAGTGGAAACAAAAAGCGCAGCGAGGCCTTTGGCGGTCCGCCACAGTTGCAAAATGCCGGTTGATCCACAGTTTATTTTTCCTAAAGCACTTGATTTGATGCAAGTAATGTCCTCCAAAAAGCTAATACAGCTTCGCCTATACTAGTCGTGATGCTTTCAACGGTAGTAGACCACGCGGTGGCCAAGAGGTTCCGCTTGATCTTTGGTATTCTTTACCATGGTTGCAGGATTTCTTGAGCACGGCAATAAACGCATCGCCCTGGTTGCATTAAGAGACTCGCTCTCTAAATGCTTATGCAATGTCCACTTTAGCACAACACAAAGTGACCAAAGGCTCCGCTGTTTCACCCATCTTCTACCATGGTGGCCGAGCCGTGCAGAAAGACCATGTCTCCCACGCTTCCAATGGTTGGTCATTCTTGCTGTTATTTATTACCCTCTGCGTTCTTTTCGCGCCAGTTCTTGAAGGATATCTTGTCGTGGACCCAGCTCGTGGTTTTGTCTGGTGCCGCGGCACTCCCTTGCTTGCGCGAGGCTAATGACCGAGAGGGTGCGGCCGACTCGGTCCGCATTGTATTTGTGAGCAGAGCTGTATTCAGCAGGGTCAGGTTTCTAATCCCAACTTAAACCTAACTATATATGACTCGATTTGTAAAGGACCTCCGGAGTATATTTTTAGGGTTCTGGTTCTAGGTATTGAGGGTATATCCTCGAATTTGATAGGCAGCTGAGCACATCCAATGGCTCCCGTCACGCAATCGCGGATGTGAGGCAGGCACCCTCCGTCCACTAGGTACGCAAGGTTTGAGTTTTGCCTGCCTTGAAATGAGATATCGGCACCGGTTAAGAGCATGGTGGGAACGATTAGTGTACGAGTTGACAACAACAGATACGATCCAACATGTCCCACGTCAGCGTACTGGACATTCACCAGCTGCGAGTGCAAAGGGGAATTTGAACGCCATTCCAGGTGCAGCAAAACCGAAGGACAATATCCCTAAAATCCGAATCAAAGCTTCGCAAGTTTCACCCGTAGATGTCAATGACGATTCCTCGGCCAAAAGCGTCGAGCAAGGCAGCAACGCCGATGCTAACCTTACTGATGCCAACGTCACCTTCCTCGATGTCACATCCCTGGAAAGTGATCGTTCGCTTCTACGACGTTATATGAACCCTTTTACCCTTCACTTCCATCATACACGTACTGAAGAGCACTACTTCCGCACACAACTTCTTCCCAACCGAGTTCTTCACCTCCGATTACTGGCGTTCCTTCAACTGTTGCAATACACGGGTATCATGTTTCCGACCTATCGAACCGAGTACGCGAAATTTGAACGGAATGGCCAACGATTTACGAGAGGATTCATACTGTTGTGGGTTATTTACACCCTGAGTTGGATGTTCATTTTATTTGCGACAGTGTGGAAGAGAGGGAAAGTTTACATCTGGCTGTCTTTGAGATCAAAGACTTGGCGTATTGCATTGACTGCACTGGAGGTAAGCGTCTCTTTCCGGGACCTACGAATCAAAAAGCTAGTAGCTCGTCGCCAGATTCATCAATACTTGTTTACCACCAGACGTTTGCCGTATGCGCCGGGGCTGCCTGGGACTTTTACCTTGCACCAGATGCTGCGGATCCAGTTGGGCCGGTGTCAACAATATCAATTTTATATTTCACCATATCGAGCGGATTTGCAGCGACATATCTGCAAGGAGTGGCTGGTCTGTTTGCGGTCAGCATACTGTGCACTGTGAAGCTAGCTTTTGTAGCGCTTGCTCACGGTGCCTACCCGGCTGTAATCTATGCCGTACCCTTTCTAATAACTGCCATAGTGTCCTATGGCCTAGTTGTTGCCGGAGATCGAAAGCGTCGAATAGGGTGAGAGCGTGATAGCACACAAATTGAAGACTGCAATGATCTGAACCAGGATATTCACAGGCGGCCTCCTTCTCTCCCTTTCCAGATACATCAAATGCCAGGTTGTAGAAGACCGTCTTGCGCAGATGAGGCTTGAGCGCATGAAGACAGACTACCTTCTCTCCTTATCACTTCCGAAGTCAATTGTGGCCAAACTACGAGAGTCTGGAATAGGAAGATCTGATCTGATCGCAGAGAGATTCCCTCAAGGTAGGCGAATTCAGGTCCTTTCATGCAATGCGCGTTATTTTTGACCGATGAACTCTTAGCTTCCGTCATGTTTTGTGATCTCAAGAACTTCAAAGAAGTAGCATCCACATTAGGGTCCACAAAAGACGCTTTGGCTCTTCTTAACGGGATCTTCCAACATGTGGACGAGGCGATTGAAGATTATAGCGACGTGACCAAGATAAAAGTGTGCAACCCCAAATTACTCTTTCTTCGCTTGTATTTCCGGCTTTGACCGTCAATTTCGTATGATGTAGACGATTTCCACCAAAATTCTCCTCGTAGGTGGACTGCATAGAAGCAATACCCATCTGCGTCAGGTACGCTTTCCCACACAGTAGGTCGCAAGTTCAGATACTCTGTAGCTTACCGATTCCATATCTGCACCGTTCCAAGATGCTCGACCTGGCACTTACCCTTCGGGATTATTTCAACAATCCACAATTATACGACATTGGGGATGAACGCATCTCTATCAAACTGGACATTGAATTTGGTGTTGCACTAGGTGAGGAAAGTCAGGCGCTGAATCACCGATGAGACTGCCATTTCTCATGCATACTGGATTGTAGGTCCACTGGTTGCTGGAATTGTTGGACGCAAAAAGTTTGTTTACGAGGTATCGCAGCCAGATTTTACGCTCCAGAATGGGTCAACAGAGATAGTTAATCTAACTACCGTTTCGTCCTATCTGACCTTCACCCGAATCGTCATAGATCTATGGAGACGTTGTAAATACAGGTATGAGCTAACCTTGATTTCATTGTATAGGATATGCAGCTAACTGATTACGCATATTTGTAGCTAGCAGGTGAGGAATTATTGAATCATCATTAAACAGCCTACCGGCTTGTTAATTGACCTCCCACCAGAATGTGCTCTCTTGCACATGAGCAGGAGATCATTGTGACCGAAAATGTGCAACAGAAAATAGTTGGGGGTCTGTTCTGTTTGTACAGATATGCTTATAATTCTTGCTACTGACTTTCCAGTATTTATTAGTTTTCGAAACAGTCTCACTTGGAACTCGCCCTGTCAAAGGAAAAGGAGTCATACCAATATATTCTGTAACTGGACCGGTTGAAACTGCAGAGCTGTCGGCCTCCCGACGATACTCTCGAAAGTCCAGTTTTACGCCTAGCGCTTTAGAAGGATTAGCGTCTCGGTTTGGGTCCGTGGCACGGATCGATACCGCAATTGTGAGTTCCGCCTATGCAAGAGCACCTTTATCTTCCGACGTGGAAGACAGCGTAAGCGGGCAACTACCCACAGTTAGCGAAGAGGGAGGAGTTGAAACTCGATCGGGGTTCGGCTTTCCTAATTCAACAGGGCATGCCGGGACATCCAAGATACTTTTGGATAGATACTTGAGCGTTGGTTCAGCAGGGCTCGCATTGGGAGGCGGAATGGACGCTCATCATCCAGCCAAGGTAGCTATGGGGGTAGCAACACTAGGGAGTCCGTTGACAGTGGCGAAAACAGGTCGAACAAACGTTAGCCATGTGGAGAGAGAATTTGGTACCCTGACTGCCAAGCCGCATTCTGAGCCAACCCGTGAAGCGGAACCTCACGAACCAAGTATTCTCGCAACGATGCGAGAGGTAGCCAGTCCAAGCAATGTAAAGCCAGCAGCTGAGGACGAAACGGGTCACAATCCTGAGGCAAAGGAAGTACTGGTGGATGTAGTACAGCGAATGTGCGCCAAAATTGATATATCAACTGCTACGGGCCTCAGTTACATGAATATTGTTTATAACGAATTCGACCCACTTGGAGTACGCTTCAAACATCCTCTGATTGAAAATCGGTTCCGAGGAGACTTCACGGCAGACACACGCGGCCCGTTTGTGAGAGCTGGTTCCATAGTGCTCTTATGCGAAATATTATTCTACTTTATGGGGATATATAACGCCATTAAAAATGGCGTTCAGCTAGTTGACACGCCTGAAACCTACTATCTGATTCTCGGATGTGGAGTCGCCAGCGTTGGGCTTCAGCTGCTGGTAACCGGAGTGTCAGTGTTCGCGGTGGCAGAAACGTCGGCACCTTCACGAAGATTTGTGCCCCGCCAGATTATTTTCTGGATATACGTCTGCACCATCTGGATTACGATAATCTGCATTACTTTGCCTTGGAGTCAGCTTGGACATTATGACTTTATGACTGGTTGCGTCATACCACACATTGCATTCTTTTTCTGCATGCGAATTGAGGGGATGATATTCCTTTGGCGAACCATTGCGGCTTCCCTTGTTGGACCTACTGTCGTGATCATGCAGCTAGCTCTTGGCCAAGCCGTGTGGCAGGAAGCTGCATGTATGGTCCTCAGTGGATGTACATGGGTTGCGATTTTCTACTTGATGGAGAAGCGACGGAGGGTGGATTATCTCATCGATTTGATATTGGATACGCAGGGAGAACTTGTTGCAGACGAAATCAACAAGAGTGCAGCAGTTCTGCATAGCATATTACCGCAGGCGGTGATTTTGAAGCTATTAGAGGATCCGACAAGTATTGTCTATGAGGAGATGGACATGGTGACGGTTTTACATATGGACATTGCAGGGTAAGTTGCAATTGACCATTGTCGGTTACAAAACTACACAGTCACTTATTCCTAAGCTAGCTTCACAGCCATGTCGAGTAATCTAGAACCCTTGACTATCGTTAAAATGCTCAACACACTTTTCACTTACTTTGATCATCTCACCGAAGAGTATGGCGTGGAAAAGGTACTAGATTTGTGCTTTTAGGAATTCATACTTTGTACTAATATGAAGAATCTATAATGCAGATAACGACTATAGGTATAGGCACTCTAATTTAGTGATACGTTAATTGAGACGCTTGGCTGATCAAAAGATCTGATTTTCAGGAGATGCGTACGTTGCTTGCTCATCGCTAACAACATCGGCAGAGCCCAAAACTGGAGCCCTGTCAATATGCTTGGTCGCATTGCAAATGCAAGCATACGTTGAACAGCAGCTAAATACAAGTGCAATTGTGATGCAAATCATAAAAAGTCCATTGAAGATGCGAATCGGCATACATACAGGTACGTATCAAATTATGTATTAATCATGAACTGCATCAACTTACCAGTGAGCAGGTCAAGCCTGCGGTGCGATTATGGGTGGACCAAAGAACTTTCGGTATGATGTTATCGGAGATACCGGTAAGTTATCATGACCTTGCTGCAAGACACTGGAGAGACAATTCAACTGATCGCCATTACACTTCAACATGTGTAGTGGTAATCGCTGAAAAGGTAAACTTATTTACAAAGCAAATTTATGACTCTATAGGTCGTCAAACTAATGTTTTTACAAGACCCAAGAGCGCTGTCCCGTTGGTGACGTTAGCATCACTGCTTCTACATATGCCTGCGTGAAAGATTATCACGGATTCAGCTTCATTCCGCAGAAAAGTGATGGTCTCCCCAGTAGTCAACGCAGCTATGTGCTGAAAGCATCTGATGAACGCATCGTCAGCACTACGGCCGATTACGACAACCCACCTACCACACCCACACAAGGGTCTAAAGCATCGTTCAGCGCAGGAACCTCGCGGCCTTCAAGCGGAGCCCTTGGTATGGCGCTTCGGACTGGACCAATATCTGGGTTGGGGCGAGGGGCTCCTCTACTTGGAAGACCGCCTTCAAGGCAGAGTTTTAGCATGAGAAAGGGCAGCATTGTCCCGGAGGAAATCAATGGACTGGAGGGTATGAGAAGCTCTAATACTGGGTCGTTTGTTAAGAATTTCTTTGGGAAAACGGAGGAGCAGGACGAAAATGAGGGTTTAGATTTGGAATCTAGAGGAGTAAAGCAGGACTTGGGCCAGTGACGTTGGGATTTTTTTTTTTTGTATAGTATTTAAGAATGATACCTCGATAGTTAATCGCTGGTCCAAACGACATGGAAGAATTCAGCGTGGCTTAGCAAGCTCTCCGCTCTCATCTTCGTGACTGCTTGGGGGGTTTGTTGGGATCTGCTGAATGGCACCTCCAGCGGCATCTTGTCGGTGTTGGCGGTCATTTCTTGTTCGACTTACTGGTGGACAGCTCAACGGCAAGCGTTTTTCAAATGCACAGGTTTTGCGACGCTCAATATTGCCCTATCGAAATCTTTCCTCGTTCCCTGTCCACAAACCTCGAGAAGTGGACGTTCCCTCCCCAGTAAAAACAGCGCAAGTGAAACCCAGTTTGCCCATGTCTGGTTCGCAGTCCCGAAATCCCCCCAGGTCTGCGCCGTGGGTTGTGGGCGAGTACTCCCACTTACCACCGCTCGACGCCTTGTCGCAGGAGATCAACGATTTCATGAAATACATGTCGTCTTGCGAACGACTCCAAGCTGTCAGAGAATCAGTCATAGATGTATATAGAAACATTGTCCAAGGGTCCTTGAGTGGAAACGTAGATGTTGCGTGCTTTGGCAGTTCTGCCACCGGCCTGTGCTTGCCAACAGCTGATCTGGATTTAGTGATTATCGGCAACGAACGGGTGAAAGACGGGGATGGCACAACTAATGTAAAGCAAACCGAGGAAGGCCGCCAAAAAGCGATCAAACAACTTCGCCGAGTACTGCGACATATTAGGAATGGCAGAGGGCTCGCTACAAAAACCTTTCTCATCCGTGCGAAAGGAATGCCAATCATCAAATTTATTGATGTGCCCACGGGTCTGTCTGTGGATATCTCGTATTCTCCCTTCAACTTGCCGTCTGCTGATGGAGTCGCCCATCTGGAATATGTGAAGACATCGGTGCAAGACGAAAGAATTCGCGCGATAGTGATTTTCCTTAAATACCTATTGTACCAAAATAAGCTCGATTCGCCCTCCTCCGGCGGATTGGGCGGCTTTGCGACCTTATGCTGGGTCGATGCTTTTGTAAAGGCGTGGGACAAATCAATCTCGGATCCGCTTCCGTCAGAAACAGAAGTCGGAAAAAAAGACGCTGGCCCAAGCTTGATGCAGTTTCTCAAACTGTACGCTACACATTCTGACGAGACCCCCGCAATCGATGTGCCCGCGGTCAAGTACACGGCAAAATCTCTCACGATTTTGGATCCTGTCATGCCGCAGAACAATGTGGCAAAGGCTTTCAATCAACATGCAAAACTTCAGGCACTCTTTCAGAGTACCTATACCAGGTTGGCTCGTTTCGTGTATGATAGCCCTCGGAAGAAAAATACTGGAGTACCGGATGATGGCATATTGCGGCATGTTGTCCAGCTACACAAGGCAGACTTGGATCATAGATCTAGGTTGGAGAGGATGGGGGCGAATCTCCTAAGAAACCCTCGTTCGCGACCAATCCTATCGGTTGGTCAATCACGAAAGAGTGGGAACACTATGAAATTCCAAACAGGCAAGAATAAGCGAGATAACTCATGGAATGTCGCGCAAAGAAAGATGGAAAGATCTTCCCCTAGCATCCAAAGTTCGACCAAATCCGCTGCAACAGATGATTTGAGGGGGAGATTGAACCAAGCTCCTCCACAAAGCAGCAAACGGCGTGATAGAGAGGAACATGATAGTTCCAATAAGAAGAGGAAACACAAGTAGAGTCGCTTGGTAGCATGCATTCTTCTCGCCTTTGATACAAAGCTGTCGAGGGGAGCGCCCAAGGGGAGTCAACACGCAGAGGGAGGTCAAAAGACAACAGGACGATGAAAAGCAAGCTGGCTAGCCGTACACAATAGGAAGATATCGACCGACGATGCGATGGCTGGGTGTTTGCAGATACGCTTTCATTGTTAGCTGTACCCAGTTGTGGGCTGACTCGCCTGTCCCCGTCCTGCCGATTACATAGAATCATTGTACATAGTTCAATACGAGAAAAGGGACCTATACTGAGAGGAGGCGATCCTTTCTCCCAGCATCCGTGTTCCACGGGTATCCGCAGGCTCTACAGTCGTTACTTTCATATGCCAACCTCAGGGAGATCGTATTCCATCCACAATATAATATATCACCATCACTATCAAGAAAGACGACCCGCTGTTGCCATTGCCATCAGCAAATCAAACGGATTTTACAATCTCATCATTGCAGATCATGGGAGGTACGATCTCTTTCAACTTCTCAGGGCCTTGCAGTTTCTTTACCACGGCAAGTGCAAATTCGAAGGCTGTCCCAGGTCCTCGGCTGGTGTGAAAGATATAGACAAACGAGGTTATGGCTCAAGCAGGGAGAAGACATTTTTCTAGAGACCAACTGACCTTGTGATGAGATTTCCGTCGACTACCACTCGCTCTTCTTTATAGTTGTAATCTAGAGACGTTGAAGAATAAGAATATGCTCAGTGTCCAGCTCTAGCATTGTCCCCTTACCTTGGACTAACTGGTCTTTCACACTCGGATGAGCGGTAACACTCCGTCCTTTGGCAACTTGAGCGGCTTTGAGCACAATAGGAGCTAATGCACAAGTGAATGCTTAGTCACACAACTCATGCAAGTGACTGCAAAGTATTACTAACAAGCGCAAATGATCGCCACAACTTTTTGTTGGCTATAGTATTGGCTCAAGAGTTCATGCACTGTCGAAGACTACGCTTCTGATAGGTGAGTTCCTAATGCTGCAATTTACCGTTGCCAGCTTAGTCGTACTTTCGAGAAAGCTTCGGCACCACCCATGCCTCCAGGAAGAAGGATTGCGTCGAAGGTCTGAAACGATTACCGTAACTTGTGAGTAAAACTGGCAGTCGATTCTCCTCTCTAATATCAGATAATGTTATTCTACCTTATCCTTCACAGCAGATAATCCTGTATCCGGAACAATTTTAACATGTCTGCTACACTCCACAGTATTTGGTCCATTCAGACCAGCCACTGTAACGTCCACCCCCGCACGACGAAGGATATCGATGGAAATGACTACAGGAAGAGTCTTGGCGTTCATTGCTCCACAGCTGACAATGAACGGGGCACACGTTACGCACCAGCTTCCATCTCCTCATTACCATCTGTGATAAGTACAAGTGCACTGGGAGCCATCTTTATGTGGATGGCCAAAATGCTGCTGTATGTGAAGGCCAGATACAAATGACGAACTCGAGATGTGAAATCATGTCACGTGGTTCGTATTGGAATAAACACAGTTTTTCCCTATCGTTTTACTGGGCTTGTAAAATGGAATTGGACCTCTGGAGGCTTCTGAATTCAAGTGCCAAATACAGGCCTTCTCGGTATGGGACTATTTTTGAGGGCAATGTCTTTCCCGCAATGGATCCCATTGATACCTCACCTCTTTTTTGGTTGGATAGTTATTACTATGATGGCGCAAAGCGCTTGAAAGTTACAGAATCACAAGTGAATGCCTGTGTCAAAAATGTTTTGGGGTAAAAAGCAAACGATGGAACTGTTTGATCGTCGCCGTCGCGGATGCTAGTGCCGAATTGAAGCACGTGGAGCGATTACGTATCAAGTTTTCTTGTCCTTTTTGGATCTATCCTTCAACCTGCCAGAAAACCTCTGTCAAATAATGTCCAACTCTTCTAGCAATGATGACATGAAATATCCTACAACGTCCAGGCAGGGCCGTCAGCAACAAATTTACAATTCTGACGGTGCTCGTCTGGTTGTTGGTGTCGTGCCTATCCTCGCAAGAACCAAGCAGGTAGTTCTTGTGTCTAGTCGAACACGAACAAATGAGTGGATACTGGTATTACCGTCCTACTGAATGCCCATGTACTTGCATGTCCTAATCAGATTATGTTATGGTCGGGTGTAGCCGAAAGGCGGATGGGAAAGCGACGAGACTCAAGGTACGATCTGTAATGCCAATCCACTATTTCAAAGTCTTACAGAAACCCTTTTACAGAGGAGTCAGCGTTGCGGGAGGCATACGAAGAATCTGGCATCAAGGGAACCCTGACTCGTAACATTGGCACATTCCCGCACACAAAGTACTTTCCTGACAGCGACATCCCCACATGCGAGTTTACTTTCTTTGAAATGGATGTAACAACATTTTGCGAGGATTGGCCAGAGCAGGGAGAACGACAGCGACGCTTGGTACGTTCACATACATCTGTCAAGTATGTCGTTCCGGATGGTATCTTAATGAACGATTGCATTTCCCTTTGTTTATCACCATTGAACAGTTCAATTTTGAGGAAGCTTCGAAGCTCCTTTCTCATAAGCCATTCATGCATCAAGCTTTGCTCAAGTGCTCTCTCAGAGCACAATAGACCCTCACCGTTTCTTCTTCTTCTTCTTCTTTTATTATCTGATTGTTGAGTTAGTCCTTCTCTGAGACTATTTTGCATCCTAGTGCGATCTCACTATGTTACCCTTCTCATTCTTGAGATCTAATCCGTTAGAATGAATAGAAAACTTTGAAACTCGTTTTAGCAGATGAAAGGAATCAACCTGCACGAGGAACGACTTGGCACAGAACAAAAATCCGTGGGCATGTGACCAATTGGAAATCATGTGGGTTGCTGCGCGAAAGACAAAGGAAGGATACAAGGTTGACTTGGCTTTCCTACTCACGGGACTACACTCAAGTATTTTGGGGGAAGGAAGCCAAGTCGGTTTTCCAAAAGAAGATATCGCTTGGAGCGGACCATCTTGTGAATAAAAAGTATATAAGGAGGGCAGCTTGCCCGTCATTTTGCAAAGAACTTTATTATACGTTTCTACCTGCCTATCAACCGCACCTTAAACCTTCAAAGAAATGCCTGTAAATGTACAGTATGGATGTATATCTTTCTCATCAAATCCCACAAAGGAACTTATAATTTTGTGTTACAGCCCAGCGAGTCAACATCACAGATGATCAATCCTATCGTCATCGACAAAGTTGTTCATATTGGTAGGTGTTCAATGTCAAGTAATCGAAATCGGCGCGATATATAGATCTGATCATCTACCAGGGGCATTAACCTGGCACTTGGACTTGCTCCGACGTTTCAAGGCCTTGGAAACCGCAGATGAGGCGACGGATTTGCACTACTTGTATGCAGCCGAGCAGCGCTATGGCATCTGGCTGCATCTGTTAAAGGACAAGACAAGTCCCGCTAAGACCCCATTACCTCCACTTGGTGAGTAGTGCTCTTTTCAATTGTAGGCGCAAGTGAAAATAAGTCGTTAGGGAACATTTCCCTTATGGCCAGCGTTTGAACTTCCTGCTTATTTTATACTTGGCTCTAGATGTTCTGTTGATGTGGCATGCCCATATGCTCAACCCATGGAGATACCATGAGGACACATACCACATCTTTGGAAGAGAAGATTTGCCATTTGCATTACCTTTGGAGGAAGTGGTAAGGTTGCGATTAGCGGTTCGCATTTGCGCCAGGCCCTAATTTTGCCTTCCAGGCTCTTCTCTCCAGCGAAGATTACGTCCCGGATAGGGCTTCGTTAGATTTCTGGGACACGAATACAGGGCTTCCCTTTGAACTTAGGCATGATAAGCTCCCAGACCTGCAGTATTCATGCGCGTGGTGTTCCTTCCAAAAAGCCGTATCGGGACCAGAGTACATCCAGTACCGCACAAAGGGCGCTCCACTCAAATGCAAACAGTGCGGGGAGGAAAGCACTGTCGACAATGCTTCCGCGGTCCGGTTTCTCAGGGACGTGCGCGAGTTTCATTTGTCTACGGAAGTTGATCCCCTCAAAACTGCAAGCATCATTCGGTATGTAGCGTTGCCCTAGCCGTAAATGCGCGTCCCATCCTAATAGTTTGTGATGTATAGGGGCTGCCTTTTGAATACTACCACCGGTGTCATCGACACGAAAGCATGCTTTGAAGATTTAAAAACGCTCTTCCGACCAACGGCTTCAACTGCCAAGAAGGTCGTCAAGTCGCTTCTTGAGCTGTCGAACGACAAGTCATGCTCTTGGTCTATAGTCGCTCCACGACTAGTGGTCCTCAAGAAGACGCTCTCTAACCTGCCTCGTACCGCGCTCCGTCACCGAACAATCGCCATGCTCAATTGTGCATACCAGAATAACGTGACAATGTTTTCCACCGACCTTGTGGCAGCAGTTAAGCGTCAGCGAGACTTTACGGGGAAGATGGTGGACGGCACGGTGATATGGGATGCTGCTCAAATGGCACGGGCCACTGTTCGGTACCATAAGTTCTTGTTATTAATGGCGCACGAACATTCCTTCCTTGTACCAACCTTAGGTTTGTCCGTTTTGTAATTGGAGCAACCCGATGCAAAGAGACTCACATTATTCTTCAATCTTACCAGATATAGATCTGGCTTGGCATACGCACCAACTGCATCCTTCTCACTATCAACAATACGGCCTCAAGCATCTAAGACGCATCATAAATCATGATGATACGGTTTCAAATTCCCATCTCAAGAACTCCTTCGCACACACAGCCAGACTATGGAAAAAGCATTTTAATGGTTTGTTCGTCTGTCTTCAAAGTGCTTTATATATTCCTATGATGGTTAACAAGACGTCATACCACCAGAAATATATTCGTGCGACCTTCCACCCCAACGGGGCCTGCTTGAAAAGCTATTCTCAGCCCAACCACCGACACCGTACAGAGAAAAATCTACCGGCTTCAAGTTCATAGACAGATTCGATCCCAAGGCCAAAGATTGTCCTTCCATACATTCAAAGCCAATGACTGCAGTGAACAAATACGGGAACAGAACGATTTCGGATTCCAGTGCCTCGCATAATCATTTGCCATTCATTTTTGTTGCCGGGTGTGCGACTGGAAGCTTTGGGAACCCCGGGTTTGCAACCGCTGCGTGTGGCACTGGTGACTTCCACAGTGGTCACGGGCACCACGGTGGATTTGGCAGCGGAGGGTGTGGCAGCGGAGGATGTGGAAGTGGCGGATGTGGAGGAGGTGGAAGTCATGGCGGATGTGGGGGAGGTGCAAGTCATGGCGGATGTGGGGGAGGTGCAAGTCATGGCGGATGTGGTGGAGGAGGATGCGGGGGTGGGGGATGTGGCGGTGGGGGATGCGGGGGCGGAGGTAGCTAACATGCGCTAAACACCAGCGTTACGCTGCTCGACGATCCTCCTGCATCATGCTCGGACAAGGGCTGTCGACATTCAAGCACTGCGATTTATTCCAAGAAAGCAAGATCAAAAAAATCACCGGTCCGATATTAAGTATAGTTCAATGCCTGGAGCAATTCTGGTACATGTAAAAGACGATTTCTTTGTCAAGTTTGATAGCTTAATGTGTAGTTAGATAAAGACCCGTTTTGTGGCTAGTTGCAAACTGATTCCTTTCAAAGTCTCCTGTGTCTGCTTCCTGGGGCGGGGGCGGGTGAACATTTCACTGGTGTGATGTTTTGTATTCGAGATCCATTGTACAAATGTACTGTAAAGTTATCATTAAACATAAATCATAATAGCGTGCATCCCAGCGCCTACGCAGGCGTAGGTCTTGCAGTAAAATGCAAGCAAAATGCACGACATGAAAAGAAAACAGCAGGTCGCTAACTGTGTTTTGGACAGTCGCGATCCAAGGCAAACATCTGCATGTAAAAATTCAAAGCGCAATTTCTTCGAATTAGGCAAAGTAAAATCTAAAAACCTACTTTTGGAGGAACATCGGAGAACTGCAACAGTAGCGTTTTGTTTTTGCTTCTTCCTTTGACCCTCATATCCCACCATGGAATAGTCCCTACAATCATACAATGCATTTCATAAGGACCTGTCTCTTCGCCTTGCTGTCATTCTTAATCAGCGTCATTCCAGTTTGCCAAGCCCAACAGCCGTGCGACACCTCAAAGCTCCTCTCATGTCCCCTGCCACTAGTATGTGTTCCGGTCCCGATTGTGTGCGTCCAGGCGCCCTGCCCAGCTTCAGTTGGTCGTTGCACACCCTGGGCTGAGGCTGGATTGCCTAAAACAATCACTTTGATCACACCCGGAAGCAGTCGTCCCAGTCCAACCGATAACACCAAACCAGGGGAGACTTTGACGTTCCCTACTGCTATGCCCACTGCTATCCTTGTGAGTAAGGCTGAGAAGCAAATTTGGATGATCTTCACTAAATTGTGTGAACAGCCGTCAGGATCTCCGTCTGCTTCAACTACGAGAGACGCATCTGGGGAAGCGCCTACCACCACCTCTCGAGGCCGGCCACTAGTAACAGCAGTTGTTGAAAGTGGGGTAAAAAGATACGAGGCACCAGTGAATATGTTTATGGCCGCAATACTGGGGACCTTGCTGTTAATGGGTGTCCCCAGACAAATTATAATGTAGAGTTAACCGAACTATGCATATATTTTTCTTATGTCTAAGCTGATATTGTGGACGGGAGATGACGCTCTATACAACTCTTGGAGTTGAATATAGAGCAGCAAAGACTTTCATAGACTTAGGACTTGCTTGTTGATGCTCCGGCCTGGCGAACCGAATTGAGAACGATAAGCAGCTCGTTTGCAAACTAACCGAGGAGAATATGATGATGGAACCCCTGCATTAAATGCTTGCTATTTGCTAGTGGCCGCCGTCAAAGGTTTTCAAAGCAGTGGGCAGAAGATATCCGCTACATCCCAGCAAGTCTTATCCGAACTAGTGGTGGAAGGCTGTTTGTCCAGTAAGCGGATCACCTGACAATCCTGGTTCTTGCGCTGGTTCCGCTGCGCACATGGACGCAGATCTTCCAACCAGGAATTGCGCGTTTGCTGTGAAGTGGGTTCGGTACAGACGAGAAGGGCATTTTCTTGACCTCTTCTCATAACCTCATATTAGCGCTCAGTTGCACGAGGTGTCAATTTCTGTGGCATGGGGGCTTCGGAAAGCAAAGCAACTTCCGCGTTCACGTTGAAAGAAGCCATATGGGCGGACGGGGACGCGGATGGGAGTGCATTCAATTTGCACCGGGCGGTCAACAAGGCGACTGGACAGCCAGCGTCGGTATTCACGTTCAGAAAAATACGTGGTCAGCCGGACGATGGGGATGATGTTGCTGTGTTGGGCAAGGCAGTACAGGTAAGCCCCCCATTAACAAGCTGCTTTGGAAAGTGCAAGCAGCTCACTACTTTCACTCCTCTAAGCGGCTACGAACAATACGCCATCCTGGGATCATAAAATTCATCAATGCAGACTTGGACCAAAATGGAGTCTTTATTGCAACGGAGCCGGTGACCCCACTTTCAAAGGTTCTGGATTCTTTATCCCCAGAAGAAGTCTCCATGGGCATATACAATATCTTGGTGAGTATTTACCTTGTCTTTTGGCATGTTGATGCGTCATCCTTATGCGCATGCGTTTTGATAGAAAACGGTCGACTTTTTGCACCGACAAGAGCTGTCACATAACAATATTCAAATGGATTCCGTTTTTGTTACCGGTGCTGGTGAGTTCGGGCCATCATTGTCGAGTGAGCCAAGCCGTCAAAATATCTAACGTGACAACTGACTTTCCAGACCGAAAGTGGGTTTTGGGTGGAATGGAGTACGTTACTTCCTTTGACGAAAATCCTGCCGCAATCCTTCCGAAAGTCCATCTTCATTTCCCTAAAGACTCAATACCTCCAGAGGATGTAACTCCCACAAAGGTAGGTGGACCATCCCTTTCAGTGGCTTGCTTGGCCTTCACAAAATATTTACCATGTTAATTATAGCAGGAAGGAATTCAGCCGGATGCCCGGGATGCATACGCATTAGGAAAGCTAATCTCAGGATTGATTGTTCCATTTATGACTGCCTCGAAAACCACCAAGCATACCAGCAGTGTTTTTGTCTGGGGAAGTCTACAATCGGCCGCCGAGCGATTGTCGTCGCAAGACCCTGCGGATCGTCCACGTGTAGAGGATGTCTTACATGATTCTTTCTTTGAGGACAATATATTCATCAATGTCGTAGAGAAATTCTTGAAGGAAATCCGCGCTATTGATCCAGAAATCAAACGGGAACGCTTTTCGTGAGTTGAACGCATACGTAGGGAGTTGAACACACGGCCTAACACGCCATTAGTCACCTAGCAGCGGAGATTCGGTTACTACCCCCCGCAGCAACTGTAAATTATGTCCTTCCTCTTGTGTTGACCCGTGATACCCTCTCGGAAACTGGTGCAAAGGCCTTTTATGATCTGCTGTTCGTCCCAAAGATTGGTAAATCTGGGAAAGGTCGGGATTCCGCGGCGGGGATTCTTCCAGTGGATATATATGATGAGCAGGTCCTGCCCTTTATCGAAGAGATGCTGAAAGTGCGGACCTACAATGTGCGTATGGTCATGCTAGAGCTCTTTGATAGGTGGGTCATGTGCGCTTGCGCGGTGATGTCGCTAATACTCATGATACTGTTTTGCTCACATCCAGATACTTGCCAGAATTGTTGGAGTGGGACAAGAGCTTACTACACAGTATACTCATCCCAGAGGTTGGTAACACGTCGAGTTAAGGCTAGGCAGCACAACACTAAGCGAATGATATATCTTTTTGCAGCTTGTGGCCGGTTTAGAAGAGGCCGATGATGCCATTTACATATTGTCCCTTTACTCCCTGTCATCACTTGTTCCACGCCTTTGTTTGGACACTCAATCAGCAACACCTATTGCAACATCACGCGATGGCTCAACAATATCACTTTTAAACGCAAATACCGAAGAAGCTACTCAACCCATTGGAGCGGGCATCACATCGATGCCATTCAGTCACGAGCCGCGATCAACGAATCCAAGTGGCCTGCATGATGAGACGGGCGAAGCCAGTGGAGCTCCTAAGACGGTGCGGAAAAAGACTTCCTTGCCGCCGGCAGATACCTCATCAACGATAACGGGTGCGCCGCCGATACGCCGAAAGGCCAGTCTAGTGCTCATGCCTTCGGGACCAGATTTCGGAGATAGGAAGGAGGCATTGCCCGTCGTCAGAGCGAAGCGGCAAAGTGTGGTGCCCATGAATGGCCAGGTAGAGAAGGGTGCAGCAACCGGAAGTGGTTCGGGAACTGGTCCTGCGAGTACTGCATCTCCTGCAGCTCCGGAGACTCGATATACTGCACAATTGTTGGTTGAGAATCTGATTATTCCGCATACATTGAATGTATGTGTCTCGGATACTATACCGATGGAACAGAAGTGGCTAGTGATTGATGGATTGGTCACATTGTGGAAGAAGCTGTGTGTGATGGAAGGGACTAGCAAGGTATGAATGGCGAGTGAATGAGTAGTGGCCTCATTTTGATTGTGTTAGGCTCAATTTCTTTGCCACCTGCCGATTGCAGGGATCGCCTGACGTGCGGTACCTGACTGCAAGTATCATCAAATGCTTTCACTTGATTATGAAAGTGCTACCACCTGTGTCAAAAAGCGAGTTCTTTTGTCAGCAACTGGTTGGCGACTTGGAAGGGGTTGCGGACTCTTCAGCGATGCATTGGCTTCCTAAAGTCATTGAACTGGGTGTGCCATCCCTGAAGGATGAGAACAGGTGAGACTTGGCTCGCTTGTCCGGATTTGCAAGAATATGCATTTTAACACTTTATGGCATGCATTAGAGATGTCCGTCGCCAGATCTCACAAGCACTGCTCAGGATCATTACTTTTATCAGTACAGCTATGGAGCGTGCTCCGACAGTGGCGCGTAAACGCGACGAGAGCAGTGTAGCCAGCAAACTACGTAGAGTATACGGACGTCTTGCCCGAACTCGAACGATATTTCCCCGAACAGGTCCAAGGGTGACACCAACTGCATTCACTTTGCATGCTCACCGCTCGTCGGTAAAGTCCGATGCAAACCCCCGAAACACTGCAGAAGCGCTGGCGTTTCAGTCTATGCCTGATCTTGATACCGCGGCTCATTCCGACGACGGTTGGAACGATAATTGGGGCGATGAACCTGAGGTGCCAGATCAACCAATAGAAAATCAACCTACAGCATCAGGAGATGACGCATCCACGCATGGGTCAGTATATGCAGAATCATACAGCAGTGGGCCAGTGCCAGATCAATGTAGCGTGAAATCGAACGAAGATGCTGAAGCCGAGCGTCAGAAGAAGAAGGAGCTGTTACGAGTCAAACGGGAAGCACGGGAAGCTGAGTTGCGGTTAAAGAGGGAAAGAAAGAAGAGTTTAAGGGGTACATCGAGTTTGGGCAACTCCCCAGATCCTAGTCCGGTTGATCGTCAACCAGAGTCACCGACCGATAGCCAATCGCTCAATGGCAATGCCAGCAGTGAGGCATCCCCACATACTATTCCTCCTGATCCAAGCCATCTGCCGAGTCCGACTGGCCAAGCTCCTGACGGGGATAAAGTTCCAAAGTCCGTAGTAGAGGAGGTGGATTACTTCAAGGATATGGAACCAACAATAACCCCTCCATCTCATATTTCTGCTGCAAGCGCTGATGGGAAAAGTCCAACGACCCTCTCAACTCCCCTCATCAGTGGTAGGCTAGCGATGCAAGAGAGCTTAACCGATCTTAATCCAGTAAGTCCTCCCACTGACTTTTGCTGACTGATCTCACTAGACTGAGATAACTGACTGCTTCTTATTCTGTGACAACTGTTAGACAGGTGATGGATGGGGTGATTTAGAAGGGGAGGATTTACCCGGTTCAGAGCATTAGTGTTTTTTATAATTATTGTTTATTTATTTTTGACGGGTGTGTGTGAGTTGACCCGGTACTGGGATGAATTTTTCATGAATTTTGGGCTTTAGAGAAAGATGAATGGAAAGGAATTGTACGGGGAACCCCGTTGATATGCAAGAGAACTGATATGCACTAGTATTTTACCTATCACAAACATGTAAACTTGCTAGCCTACTTTAGAATTTTACGTTACATACAATGCCAGAATGATCAAAGCATACACTGCACACATCATGCAAGATATCATGACTCGCTACTTTCCGCTACGCTTGCCAGAAGACTGAGTACCACCGACATTCCTAGCCCCGGCAGACTCATTGCGAGCTGCGGCAGATTGAGCTAGCAAAGCTCGCGGCCGAAACGTCCTGTTCGGCTTTGGCCTGAGACGATTGGATGCGGGACGCTGCAGAGGACGTCATGGGCGTTTGACTTGTGGAGGAGTCTTTGGACATTGGTTTATTCTGTGGTTCTCCGTTGTACTTTTGAAATGCGAGTATAGGTACAGATTGAATGTTGACACGTTGTGAGAATGGTGTTTTTTTAAATAAAACAGATTAGTATGACGAGTGAGAATGACAATTACACGGGGTTCGAGCTAACGCCGTCGCAAGCCATTAGGAAACTGTCAAGAAGTGGTAGCAAGACGTAACAAAGTTGATATTTAGAGAGACTAAAGTTTACAAGTCATTTAAAATGGGTGAACTTTCATTTGACGTAGTGTAATCCGCCATCTACTATACGCAATAAAAGGCTTTTGCTATCTAAACTGGGCCCCAAAAGTGTTTTCATTTCTTGATGGCAATGACTCTAATCCGAACATAATCAAGCCACCATCGTCCCTCGTCATCACACAAAACGGGTTGACATTCCTCAATAACTTCACTCCGGACGTTTTCACGGTCACTTTCCGGTACAGCTTCTAGGAAATGCGTCGCAAAAGAGGAGAGCCATCCGTTTAGATCTGTTGGAAGAAGTGTTGGACGGGGGATAATCTCCAGGTGAGTGGGAGTAAAGTATGGGTCAAGGAGTTTGGCGTAGTGATTCGTCCTGAGGATATGGGATGTAAGATGGATATTTTATAAAGAATATCGCGCGAGATGGTCCTTACGTTGGGAAAAATAGCATGAGGTTCTCTGCGTTTGGCACATTGCGTCTTTTTAAAGCTGCGATGAGGGCAGCGTGGACACAGGCAATGTTGCCGTGTCCACCGAATTCAGCGATGAAGGATCCGCCGGATTTCAAGACTTTATGTGCACCGCGAATCACTGCGACTGGGTCTCGTTTCATCCAGTGAAGGGCTGCATAACAAAAAGAGTTGGATGGTTGTTTTCATTCTTTTGTGCTTGTGTGAAATGGAATGAAAACTGTACCTGCGTTACTAAACACTTTATCAAATCCCTCACCAACCCATTTACTCGTCTCAACATCAAATCCATCCAAAACCTCAAAGATAATCCGGCCAGATTCCACTTGTTCTTTGCACTCCACTTGAGCAGCTTCAATCATGGGCGCGGAAGCATCGACACCCACAACTGAGCGGACATTGTAATCCGTCACAAGCCTTTTAGTCAACTTGCCGTCTCCGCATCCCAGATCAAAGATTCTGTCGGTTGGTTGGGGATCAAGGAGCTCAATGATAGCACTCGTGTGTTGCTTTGAGTGGACAAAATGTCCGTGGGTGCCGTACAGAGAGGGAGACCAAGCTTTGGCATTAATGGGATCGGGAGTGGTCATATTTGAGTAGACCTTGTATTGCTGTTCAAGTGCAATGGGTGGGGTCAGCAATCTATGGCCATGCTTTTATAGCAAAGCCGACAACGAGGAGGGGAGCCCTTGGAACACTTGTGTGTCCATCCAACGGTGTGCGTGCTGACGTTGATGAGTCATGAACATGTCTCCCTGGGGCACAGAATTGATCTTATCAGCGCGGATTTGATCGGCTGCGCACAACGTGATTTACTGGCTATTGCGTGTGATGGTCGCCATAGGTGGATGCAAGTGATGGATGGGATGGATGCAAGAGGTTCGTCATAGGGTGTAGGAAACTAACATCAAGGACAAGGGGCCACATTAGTTGAAAGCTTGAAAGCTGGCAGAAGATAACTCCATTTCAAACAATCACACCCACACGCACGCCCGCACACATGTGACGTCTATCTAACATTTTATCGACAATGACACTACGTCTACTTCTAGTACATATCTAGTACTTCACAGTGATCACAGGAGATTCCCAAGTATCATACGCAAAGGGCAGCTTGGGGTTAGCAAAGTGCTTCAACGCCGAGATGCGGATCTTGTACTTTCCAGCAGGGACTGTGCTGTTGTCAGGAACGCCACCGGCAGGCACGTCCAGAGTCTTTTCACCACTCCATGGGATGTCAATCTTGTCAGCGGTGCCGTAGGATCGGCCTTGTGAACCCAGGGTGACAAGGTGAGTCTTTGGCTTGGGAGCCAATAGTGACGCGGGAACAATGTCGACAAAGGCTTCACGAGTTGGGTAGGCAAAGGCCAATCGGATAACCACAGGGCTTTGGGTTGGGTTGATGGTGATGGGGTTTGCGAGAGGGGCGAGGGTGTTGTTTTTGACGGAAAATGCACCGATGGTGGGGCCATTTTTAGGATCCTTCTTCAAAAGAGTTGGGGCCCGGCTGTAGTCACCTCGCATGCCGACGTATGGGATGGTAAGAGGTGCAGCGTTGGTAGTGCCCTTCTTGGAGGCGATGACAGGCTGAACGTTGATGAAGCCAGAGTAGATGGGCCAGAGATCTCCAGAAAGGGTAATAGGAGGAATGACAACGGCATTGATGGTCACAGTTTTACCTGCGGGGATGGTGACTTCCTTTTGGGAAAACATGATTGTGGCCTTTTCGTTTGAGTGAACGGGATGAGCAAGGGGTCGGTCTGAACCTTTCTCAGAGCCAGTGAGGGCCACGGCGCCAAAGTCGCTCAACTTGTAGGTGGTAGGGCTGTCGTAGTTGTTGGTGATGCTAATGCGCTGAACGCCGTTGTGGTGAAGGGTGTCGTTCAAAGCAATGCGCGATGGTTGAATCAAGGTACGAGTGTTGATAGTCTCAAAGATATCAACCAGACCAGCACCTTGCTGCGCGACAGATGCGAAGCGGGTCGCATCATCACCCTTGTTGCTAACGTGAACGGGCTTGGCGTTGTTCTGGAAGTAAGCCTTCACCAGCTCGGTGTCCAATTTACCGCGGGCTTGCACAAAGAGCGCAACTGTACCGGCGACGTATGGTGTGGCCATCGATGTTCCAGACATGGAGAGGTAAGGAGTGGGCATTCCCGCCTTGGCACCAGCAAACTTGGATGCGGTAGAGTAGACGTTACCACCAATACCAGCGAGCTCGGGTTTCATTTTCAAATCTCCATCGAGACCAAGGGATGTGAAGCTGGAAGGCGTGCGAGCGGTAGGGACATCAGAGATACCCAACTCGTTGGTAAAGGTCCACACTCGGTTGGGTTGGGCTTTCACAGCATTGACGATGGCAAGACCGGTTTGGTCGTCCAAACCACCTCCAGGGAGGCCGGCAGTACCGAAAATGTTGATGCTTCCAGGAACGTTGTTGTAAACAAGACAACCAGCGGCACCGGCAGCCTTGGCATTTCCACAACGGACGGCGGATCCACAGGCAGAACCCTGTTGGAAGATGATGACCTTGCCCTTAGCATCAATGGTAACTGGTTTACAACCATCGTCAAGAGTGGTTGTAGGGTCAGCGTTCGGGTCTGGTGACAAGAATCGCAATCAGTACAGCTCAAGATGTATAAGGTTGTCGAAACACTCACTGTTGATGACAATTTGTCCCTTCACTTTTCCGACCCAACCGCCACCAGCGGACGAAGGAGCGTAAGAGTAGGACTTGCCAGCATCGTCAAAAATGCTGAATTGCACCAACTTGGAGTTGTCAATAGATGCAATACTCCATCCTTTTGGCGCAACAGCTGGTGGACCGGTGGTGAAGACACCGTCCTCACCGTCGTTTCCGGCAGCCATAATGACGTATGTTCCTTTACTGGAGACGCGATCCGCCGCAAACACGGCGGGACTGTCTGGGTAGGGGGAACCGCCTCCAAGACTCAAGTTCAAAATGTCCATACCATCGTCATGGCCACGGTAAATGGCTTTGGCAATCACATCGTCACCAGCGGAGCCATCGCAACCAAAGACACGGTAGGCACCAAGGGTGGCCTGTGGAGCAACACCGAGGAAAGGAGTAACTGGCGCCCATTCCTTGGCCATTCCAGTGGCATTGGCGGCAATGATACCAGCAACATGGGTACCGTGGGACACGTCAGAACATTCGTCAATCGGGTCAGCGTCCTCAATGGGTTCGTTGAGACCGGTGTAAGCATCCCCGACGAAATCCCATCCTTTCTCTACCTTGAAGCCGGGACCGAAGCCACCACCCAAAGCGGGATGCTTGTAGTACACTCCAGAGTCGATCACACCGACCTTGACGCCTTTACCATAGATCTTGAGCTTGTCGTGAACGTCCAAAACACCAGTGAGACCATGGGCTGATTCGAGGCTAGGGGTTACAGTACGATCGCCAACAGCAGTCATGATGGGCTTTGGTCTAGGGATGGCACGAACAGGGCGAACACTAAGCACTTCTGGACGTTCCTTG